CTTCTCCAAGGAAGTATGGGCAGAGATGGGAGACTGGGAGAAAACTCGCTATAGGAATGTGAAAAGGAACTATAATGCACTGATTACTATAGGTAACAAGAAGTGCTAGGCCCATACCAGCCTGGGAAACATAAAACAGGTCTTTGGTTCCTATGTTATTTTAGTTCTTAGGTAGTGGTATCTGCCCACAGTTCCCTTTTGTATGAAGCCAAATCTGAAGGGAAATTGTGTTCTTTTGTGTCAGTGTGGGGCTGAGTGTGGATACTGACGATGCAGAAGTCACATCTTGACCTTGTTCAGGACTCTGCCAGCTCATCAGACTGAGCCGCAGTGGCTTTGTGGTCCTTTCCATTGCCACTGCCCTTTGTTCCTCTGCCCAGCTCTTCCCTTTAAGAACAAAATTTTTCTTAATTTCAGGTCTCCGAGCCACTCGATCAGCTTTCATGTGTCACCGAAGGCAGGCCATCAAATTCCAGGTGGATGACACTGAAGATTCTGATGAAGAATGGACACCTAGGCAGCAAGGTAAGAGGAAAGTAGGAATTTTTACTTTTTTATTTTTATTATTTTTGAAGCAGAGTCTTGCCCTGTCACCCAGGCTGGAATACAGTGGTGCAACCTCAGCTGACTGCAGCCTCTGCCTCCAGGTGGTTCAAGCAATTCTCCCACCTCAGCCTCTCGAGTAGCTGGGACATGGTGGCGTGCACCACCATGAGCTATTGTGCATAGCCCACAGTAAGATTTAGAGTGACCTCTGACCAGGCACGGTGGCTCACACCTGAAATCCCAGGACTTTGGGAGGCCAAGGTGGGCATATCACTTGAGGTCTGGAGTTTGAGACCAGCTTAACCAATGTGGTGAAACCCTGTCTCTTTAAACATACAAAAAAAATTAGCTGGATGGTGATGGGTGCCTGTAATCCCAGATACTCAGGAGGCTGAGGCTGAAGAAGTGAGTGGCTCACTGCAACCTCTGCATCCTGGGTTCAAGCAGTTCTGCTGCCTCAGCCTGCCAAGTAGCTGGGACTACAGGTGCCCACCACAACACCCAGCTAATTAATCTTTATAGTTTTCTATGTGTAAGGTCATGTCATCTGCAAATAGAAATAATTTTACTTCTTTCTTTCAATTTGGATGCCTTTTATTTCTTTACCTTTCCTAATAGCTCTGGCTGTGACTTCCAGCACTATGTTGAATAGAAGTAGCAAGCCTGGAAATCCTTACCTTGTTTATGACCTTAGAAGAAAGGCTTTCATTTTTCATCATCAACTATGGTGTTAAAAATGGACTTTTTTATGTGACCTTTTATGTTGAGGTGATTTTCTTCTATTCCTAGTTTGTTCAATGTGTTTGTCATGAAGGCCAGTCAATTTACATTTTTAAAATGAATGTAATAGATACTTTATGAATATAGGATGAAACAAAGAGTTTCATCTATTTTTTTTAAATCTTGAGAAAATTAGCAATGCCCCAATAGAAGCATAGGCCTTAATGATACCTCAGAAAACATTTTCAAATCACCCTCAGATAATACTTGGAATCACCACTCTCTGGTTCAGAATTCTCTGTCTCTAATGAGAATCTCCAGAGTTGAGCCAGGTATGGTGGCTCATGCTTGTAATCCTAGCATTTTGGAAGGCCAAGGCAGGTAGATCACCTGAGGTCAGGAATTCAAGACCAGCATGGCCAACATGGAGAAACCCTGTTTCTACTAAAAGTATAAAAATTAGCCAGGTGTGGTGGCACATGCCTGTAGTTCCCAACAACTTGGGAGGCTGAGGTAGGAGAATCACTTGAACCCGAGAGGCAGAGGTTGCCGTGATCTGAGATTGTGCCACTGCACCACAGCCTGGGCCACAGAGGAAGACTCCATCTCAAAAAAAAAAAAAAAAAAAGAAAAAAAAGAAAGAAAGAAAAAGAAAACCTCCAGAGTTTGGAAACGTTTACCAGTCAAACCTCCTGGGATGGCCTTCAGGGTGGAACAGAGTAAACACCAGAAGGTAAGTATTTCCCAAACCCTACTGAAAAGAAATCTTCCTCCTAGATCCAACACAGATAAAAGAA